TAACAGCTATTGGCAGCAAATCCAGACTGGAGTTATTGAGAATGCTTTTATCAAGGGAGTTGAACAAAGGCCATGGCACAGAGCTGCTAGTTAGGCAGAAATGTCACAGGGCTGGCCTTCAGCCCACAGAACTTCATTTTTGTGCTGCTGACTTCCAGGATTTCATAATAAAGCACTCCCTAGAAGTTCTGCCTTTGTCTGAAACTCCTGAGAAAACAGAAATAAAGTACCAAAAAATTCACCTTCTCCTGCCATCTTAGATAAATGCTGACCAGAATCTTGCTAAAATAAACTGACGTCGTTACTCAGGAAGTAAATAAGCTCAGGAAAAAGGTCGATGTGAGCTGGAAACTTTGAATTTTCCATAATCCTAAACAGGCAGATAACACTGCAGCAGCAAGGAACCCCCCTGTCGTGCAGCTAACACAGAAGCAGTTTTCCTGTACAGAAGCATGGCACAGCTGCCCCCAGCCTGCCCACCTCCACCTGTGGAGCCCCAGGGACCACATGCCCTGTTCCCATGGCTTCTTCACAGAATCACAGAATTGCAGGGGTTGGAAGGGACCTCCAGAGATCATCGAGTCCAACCCTGTTCTTCCTGCAGCCCTGAGCAGCAGTGTGTGGCAGCAGCACTTGTCCATAAGCGTTGCACCATCAGCTGCCTGCATTCCTTCAGGTTAGATAGAAGGGAAAAGTCCTTTACAGTGAGGGTGGTGAGGCACTGGAACAGACTGGCTGAGAGATGTGTTGGATGCTCCATCCCTGGAGACATCCAAGGTGAGGCTGGATCAGGCCCTGGGCAGCCTGATGGAGCTGTGGTGACCCTGTGGATCTGTGGATCCTGTGGACTGGATGGCCTTTATAGGTCCCTTCCAATTCTAAGGACTCTACAATTTACTTTTTAACAGCCTTTTGCTTCTAACAGGTGCAATTTCAAATTTGAATGGGAGGGGAAGGGAAGGAGGATGAAAGGGGAAAGAGAAGGGAAAGTTCAGAAAAGAAAGGGGAAGTGAGGAGAAAAAAAGAATGTAAACTTCATTTCCAGTCACATACTATGCACACCTGCAGCCCATGGCCTGAGGACATTGCCTAGGAAGATTTCCTGTCAGTGCTTTCCATCATCAGAGGAGTCTCACAGCTTCCCTTAAGACAAAGGTGTTACTCAAAATGGGAACTGGATCGATTGCACTGAAATCTGGTTAACGAAACCCACAGTGAGACCATCGTGTCACCTCACGTGCATTTTGTGATAGATGGCAACAATAACATTGCTCCAATCTTGGCTGTAATATTCATCCAACCAGGCACACTCCTTTAGATAACCTACAGAGTAACCTTTCCTAAAGTAATTAAAATAGTAAAGTCATTAGCTATTCATTTTATTCTGCAAAATACTCAACCTAAAATTAGTTAACATTCCCAGGTGAATATTATGGAACTGATTAGTTTTCACCTTTCTGCAGATTCATCTTTGCTATCAGGGCAAAATGCTGCACTCCAAAATAGACCGCAGTGTCGGCACTGCAGGTTGGGTGCACTGCTGTCAGCACAGGTGGAATAAACAGCCCTGTGCCTATCAGTAACTGCAGAATCATAGAATCACAGCATGGCCTGGGTTGCACAGGAGCACAGTGCTCATCCAGCTCCAAGCCCTGCTGTGTGCAGGTCGCCAACCAGCAGCCCAGGCTGCCCAGAGCCACATCCAGCCTGGCCTTGAATGCCTGCAGGGATGGGGCATCCACAGCCTCCTTGGGCAACCTGTGCCAGTGCCTCACCACCCCCTGGCTCAAAAACTTCCTCCTCATATCCAACCCAAACCTCCCCTGTCTCACTATAAAACCATTCCCCTTGTCCCATCACCATACACCCTCACAAACAGCCGTTCCCCCTCCTGTTTATCCACTCCCTTCAAGTACTGGAAGGCCACCATGAGGTCTCCCCACAGCTTTCTCTTCTCCAGGCTAAAGAAGCCCAGTTCCCTCAACCTTTCCTCATAGGAGAGCTGTTCCAGTCCTCTGATCATTTTAGCAGCATTCCCCTGTGCCCATTCCAAGAGCTCCATGTCTTGTGCTGGGGGCCCAAGACCTGGACACAGAACTCTGCTTCTTGTGCAGAACCTCTCCTCCTTTTTGCTCAAGTGCTGTGCTCAACTTGCATTGAAGAGCTTCATTTCAACTTCAGTTTTAATTCATTCATATTCATCTTTTAGCGTGGTCAATTTTAGTTCAAGCTTCAACATTTAAACTTCATCTAGCACTGAACAACATGATGCTTTCAATGCAAAGTTCCCCAAATGGTTAGGGTTTGCTTTTCATCCAGCACAAATAAAAGCACAGGGTCAAATTTGGGTCCTGGAGTGGGGCCACGCTCTGCCTGGTGCAGTGAGCACATCCTTAACCAAGGGACTGGGCATCCTTGGGGGAGCACCATCTGAGAACACAAGGATGCAATGAGAATGGCCAGGAGGAATCAAAAATGGGAATGTGCCAGACTTACAAACAGCGGAAAGCAAACTGTAAAGTCATTCATAAACAGCAGAGTTGTGCATCAGATGCCACACAAGAAGGGCTGGATGTGTTCTTACACGTGGGACTAGAACCAAGAGAATTTATCTTAGAAGGATGGCCCCCAAGATCAAGAGAAGACAGCTTGAGACTGCTGTCAATGAGCTAAATCCATCATGAAATACTACGTTAATCAAAGCAATTTCAGAATCATTATCAATGGGCTGAGAGAACAGATTAGGAGCACAAAAAAACGCATGCAAAAAGATGCGCCGAGTGGTCTCCTGGCAAAGGACACATTAAATATCATCGAGCAGGGGCTCTACTGGTTGTGCTTCTATTAAATATTAATGATTTCAACAGCACAAGTGAGGAAGCTGTGAATGACATCTGTATGGGAATGATTACAAGTGCTTTGGCGGATAGGATTAGAATTCAAAGTCATCTTGGTAAATTGGAAAATAGTCTGAAATCAAAGAGACAAAATTCAGTAGAGACAAGCACACATACAAATGAGAGAAAAACAAATATTCAGAGACCAGAATAGGGATCGCCTGCTAGGCAGCAGGGTTGAAAAAAGAGGCAACGGTGACAGCTGAGAACAAACTGAACATGAGTTAATAATGTCAACCTGTCAGAGCAGTAATGCACACTGGGATCTACAGACGCCGGCGTGATGCACGAGATGTGGCAGGAAACACTCTGGGCTCCGGAGCACAGAGCAGGGCTGGGCTGGCTACCTGGGAAAAGCTTTAATTATCTGGAAAGCCGCATATTGGAAGAACTTAATTAGGAAGGGGATAGAATACTTCTTGCTTGTAAAGCGTGAGACAGACTTGACATGGTTTGGTATCTGTCAAACGTGGCTTTTCTCCACCTCGCCCCGCCTCGGGTGCATGTTGAAGCAATGTGTTTCAGGATTCTTATTCGTGCCTCTCAAAATCTTCTCTTTTTGAGCTCTGCCTTCACAGCAGTTTCCATTCCATGCTGGAGCAATTCGCTGATACTACGCAGTGGTATTTTTGTAGTACCACATCATGCAAGGCTGGGTCAGATCAATGCATTCCAGCACATTCCCTCTGTTCAGAGCCGCTGTACACAAAGTGCTCATGTACCTGCACGGAGAAGATAAGCTGCACGTTGCTCTGTGTCATTTCACAGCTGCACACAACACTGGCTGCTGCTGCTTTTGTGTCCTTTGTAATATCACCCAGCTCACTGGGATCGCTGCAGGAGATTACCAAAGGCAGCAATCTTCAGCCCGTTTAGTCCTGCACCAGCAGCTTTCTGAACAATGACCATCTTCCACGGCTTTGGTTTCAGTAAGTGCTGCTGTGCTCAAAGCAGAGCTCTGCAGAGCTGAGCTGGCTCCTTACAGACCAGGCCAACCTTCCCAGCACTGCTGTGCTGCAGTACGGACCTCAGCGGGGCTGGCAGCTGGCTCCTGGTGAGCCCTGCTTTCCTCCATGGGCAGAGGATCAGCAGAGCACTGTGATGGGCATCCAGAGAGCCTGTGGCAAGGCTCCCTCCAAATCACTTCAGGAAGAGCTTGCTTCTCTCTATCAGCCCTCTGCACTCTTCCTGTGGACATCTCTGGGGAAGATGGGCATCACCCCAACGATGATGGGCAGTGATGGGCAGCATGTTCACCACCTGCTTCGAGACAAGAAGGAGGAGGGATCTTCCCTCACAGACAGGATTCCAAACCTGTGGGATCTCCAGAGGGAGTAAGGCTCTGGCAGCACATTCCTCCCATTGCCTTCCTCATGATCACTTTCCTCTTCATCCCAGTGTGACAGGCAGGGCAGGAGATGCCCTCCAGGCAACAAAGTGACCCATAAATACTGGGTGTATTGGTAGGGTAACAAACCTCAGGATCCCAACAGAGGGCTGTCCAGACATACGAGCTTTTTAAACCTCTTGGGCTGCTTGAAGGAGTGTTTAACTTACAGATCAGCTATTCTTTGCTTAAAAATGTCTTCAGCTGAGAATCCATCAGTCACCCTCACTGTGAGCAGCCCTTAGTTCATGGTTGAGCTACTGCAGATCTCAAATTCCCATCCCTAAGCCCATCTCATAAGTAGGGTACTGAGGAGGGAGCACTGTGATACTTTTTTTCCTGAAAATGCCTCTGGTAATTTTTCCACAAAAAGCATCCCTTTAACAGAACATTTGGTTTTGGTGACTTTGCTCATTAAAAAGCCTGAGTGAATCTGAATACAGAAGTCATAGCTGAAAATGTAGGTTTTCTGTTTGAAGGCGGAGAGTAGTGCCTAAATAAAGTCTAAATCAGGTCATATTTCATAACTGGATGTTTATAAAGTTGGCATCCACTCCTTGTTATTAGAGTGTTATTTCACAAGATAGTTTGGCCATTGCTTCCTATTCTCCTTCTGCTTATCATAGAATCATCACAGAGTCACAGACTGGCTCGGGTTGGAAGGGACCTCAGGGATCACAAAGTTCCAACCCCCCACCACAGGCAGGGCCACCAACCTCCACATTTCACAGCAGCCCAGGCTGCCCAGGGCCCCATCCAACCTGGCCTTCAACACCTCCAGGGATGGACGGGGCATTCTGCTAGGCATTACGGAAGAAAGAGAAGTAAATACAAGTCAGCCTTGGCACACTCTGGCCCATCTTTTTGTAGCTCGGCAATTTAAGGTGTTTTTGCCTTTCCCTTTCCTTCAGCTGTTGGTAGAACATGACACAGTTCTGCCATGCCAACAGAAAGAGCTTGTGCAGCTGTGGTGGAAGCATTTCATTTCTTTCTTTTTCACTCCTCCCTCTACATGTGCAAAGTTTCACTTCTGAGAGGACGTCTATGGACAACAGAAGCTATCATCCAGCATGTTCTGTGGAGATACAAGAGCCTTTAAAACCAGAGAGAGCACACAGAGCACAGCTCTGTCCAGCTCCCCATCCTGCAGCTTACATCCACCATAAACACGCATGTTTAGCATAAGAAAAGATGGAATAAGATGCAGAGCTCCACTCCAGTCCCCAACTGGACTGCTGCCTCAGTTGCACGGGAACTTGCCATTAGCATTTTTTCAAAGCCAGCCTTTTTACGATGTACTTTTTTATGTACCCACCAGAGATCACATGCTGCTCATGGTAACTGCACAGAATAATATCATGTGAAGTACAAACACTTTCCTCTCTCAGTGAGGCATTTCTGTACCGATAGAAGGAGCTCCTGGAGTTCCTTTTCTCTCTTTTGTTCCCTTATAGGCTGAGGATATGAAAATTGCTTGTGCCGTGGGGTGTGGATGCTGGAGGCTGCTGTCACCTGCCCATGAACAGCACACACTCCTCCAGGAGGTTTTGCTGGGCTGTGACCATCTGCAAACTCCCAGCCAAGAAGCAAAACCTGTGCTACTGTGCTTTGGGGAGGGAAAACTGGGGGCAGTTGGGTTCTTGGAGTGCCTGGGTGGGCTCCTCTGCACAGCCTGGGAGCACCACAAAGCCCAGCACAGCACATGAGGCACAGCAGTCACCCAGCTACCCTGCTCTAAGTTGATAACTTACAGTGATCATCCAGAGCACGTCTACTTTAAAGCAAGTTTCACTGCAGCACTGTTAAATCTGAGCCAGGATAAACAAGAACAAAATTTCCTATGATCTTTCTAGTATATGCACAAAATATATCTTCCTTCACCTTTGCAAATAGGGGACAATGGTAATTTGTTACGTGCATTAAAATTGTAATAATGCTTTTCGGTACCATCAAGATTACATTAGGAAGCTCTGTGTTCCCAAAGGGAAGATTAAAGTGCAAATCTAATAGCATGATTTGTTCTTCAGTGGAGCACTCTTGTGTGGCTTGGAACAAAATATTCCCAGCAGAAAATATCCCAACACGCCTGTGAGAGCAGTTTCTGCGCCTCACCAGCTCTGTGGGAAGGTGAAAGCTGCATTTTCTATTTGCGTTGATGAGTTTTCTTGTGTGCTGGAGAAGCCTGGATCTGTAGGTAGTTGACCTGTACAAAGGGAAAGCTGAAGTCACGTCTTGCAGAAGCTGCAGACAGGTGAGATGACAGAAGTGTGACTCTCAGGAGTTGGTTTCTGGGTCTCGTCCTCCCCAGGAGCACAGCCTGCCATTGCAGAACCCTCCAAGCAGGGAAGCTGCAGCGGGAGCAGCCCAGGACCACGACACTGGGGAATGGTCCCTGCAAGGCAGGCACCAGCATGCGATGCACTGAAGGAGCCATGTCCAATTTTGGAGAGCGTAGGACTGGTGTACAGCATTTTCTCGTTGCAAATTTCGATAGCCATGGGAAGACGAACACAGCACATATCACAGCAGAAAACCCCAATGAATCAGTCTTTCCTGTTTCTCTGAGAAGTCCAAGTGCCCGATCTAAGCACACAGATTTTTCTCCCTCATCTCCTTGGATCACACTGTAACCAGATTTCCTTTTGTCTGCTGAGATAAGCCCCACCATCCCGAGGCACTTCTGCAGAAGCCTTCACACACAGCCCTCTGGTTTCCCATGGCCATCACGTACTCCCATCCCCTGTCAGCAGGAGAGGAGCACTGCCAGGCAGCACCATTTGGACACCATCTCCCGTTGCTTCCCCCCTCGCCAGCCACACAAAGCTTTGTACAACAGGCAACACTTGATCCAACAGATGGATCGGCGCTGGGCTGGACTTCACAGGCAGCACAGCTGAAAGCCATGCCATTGAGCACAAGGCACATCCAGCCAGCATTCATGGGGAGCCAGGGCACACAGCTGCCACAGAGAGCTGGGCCAGTACTGCCCACCTTCTCCCTTCAGCTCTGAAACTCCATGTGTGGTTTGATTTTTTCTGTGAGATGAATCACACGACCTTTTGCTAAGTCTGCTGCTACACATCCCACCAAGCCCCAAATCAACACCTTGAGTTTGCTGGGAGAATCTCTGGATAACCAGAGCTGAAGAATGCACAGAACTGCCATCCCAGACTGCACGCCATGCAGTGACTGGCAGTCCTGTTGCAGTGGGTCTGGTTTCAATATGAGTCACAGACATCACATGGAAAAACGATGCGTCACTGAGCACGCGCTGCATTTCTTCTGATTCTTTATGGAAAATGCTCTTTTGCCTTCGATTCCAAACTCCTAAATTTTCATTAGGAGTTGCTCTCCCCGAATGGACCACTTCCACTTTTAATCTTAATTAGGAAGAGACTAAGCTGCTGCCAAGCTCTACACTGCTTCACCATATAGCTGAAGATGCACGGGGAAACCTTGTGCTGCTCCAAAACGTCTGATTTTTTTCTTCTACAAAACTATGTTGGCAGGAGATGGAGAATGAGATTTCCAAGCACCTGACAGAACACTGAAGGGTGAGCCTGAAACCTTCCCAAGGAGCAGCCAGCTGCTGGAACCCAGCACAGCCCTGCTGGATGTATGGAGCTCTTCATCCCTTTCCATCTTCTGCTGAAAGAAAAGCTTACAGAGGGAAGGCATTGGCAGGCAGTGCTCTGCAGAATTCAAAAGGCAGACACAGCAGCACAGAGAGAACAATTAGAGGCCCAATTAACATGCAAGCAATATATCTCTTGAACAGAAATAAGGATGCTTGCTAAAAGTGATCTTTGTCTCAGCATTTTCCCCGCTGATTTATTCTGAAGAGCCAACAAGGTGTGTATATATATCTATATTCTCTAGCAGAATTGCTCAGCTAGTTATATTGCATGTCCTATTTGTCGACCGTTTCTCTATTACTTTGCCCATTTAAAACACACTCTAAAACAACCAGGAACGTGGCTGCCTTTATAAGCAGTGCCTCGTGCGCACCAGCAGAAGTGCAGAGCACTGCCATGGGAAGGGGCAATTCTGCACCACTCTGCATCCTAGGGTGCAGCAGTGCCTGGGCAGGGGCTGTAGGGAGCAGCCCACAGGGCAGTTGCTCTTCTTCTTTTTTTTTTCCTTTTCCCTTGGTTTATCTGCAAATTACTCAAACCAGGAATTTTCTCTCGTTGTCAGACCTTGATCTCATTTGGAACACCTGACACTACCAGAATGTGTAGTCAGAATAGCCACACACTGGCACAGGTTGCCCAGGGAGGCTGTGGATGCCCCATCCCTGCAGGCATTCAAGGCCAGGCTGGATGTGGCTCTGGGCAGCCTGGGCTGCTGGTTGGCGACCTGCACACAGCAGGGGTTGGAGCTGGGTGAGCACTGTGCTCCTGTGCAACCCAGGCCATGCTGTGATTCTGTGATTCTATAAATATTTACACATTCCATGTACTAGTCAGAAAAAGAGCAGTCTAAAAGAGAGCCTAAAGAACAGGAAGAAAATAAGTCAAGGAGTGCAAATAAACGAGAATCGCTTCATCAGAAAGATGACAAATTAAAGGCAATAAAATGTTTAAAATGATCATTCTCCCTAAAGCACATAATTAGTTCTAACCGCCCATTACAAGATTTCACTGAAACCAAGGACAGAACAGGTTTAAAACCCCAGCTGCCCTCAGTCCTGCAGTCACTGCACACACAGCCACGTGCTGTGCCACATCCCTTTGGTTCAGCTCACTGTCCCAGCTCCATGTCCCCCAGCCCCTTGCTGGCCAGGCAGTGTGAGAAGTGGAGAAACAGAACAGCCTTGGCTCTGTGCAGCACTGCTCAGCAACGGCTGAACGTCACTGTGTTATCTAGGTTGTTTTTCTCCCAAAGCCACAACCAGGTATCACACCACGTGCTGTGAAGGGAAGCAGCTCTGCCCCAGCTGAACCCAGGGTGGAGGGGCTGTGCACAGCCGGATGCAGCTCAGCACCTGCAGTCAGCTGCACTGAACCGCTCTGCAAAACGTGGTGGCATTTACACAAAATTAAAACGGATCAGCCTCTGACTGCTTTGTCAAGATGGATCTCATCAAACCCAGTTTGCTGAAATATTTATTCCGAGCAGCGCTCTCATCCTGCCCCTCTCCTTACAGGCAGCAATACAGTTATGCTTTTCTCAGAAACTGTGCTGCCCTTTAGTCATGGTGTGGCTTTTCCAGGGAGCTGCAGTCCTTAAAAAGGGGAGCAGAGCAGCCGATGGCAGCAGGGTGCTGGGGGCTGCACCAAGTGCTGGGCTCCAGGCAGCAAGGTGACAGAACGCAGGGATTCAGCAGAGGGGGGCAGAGGCAGCACAGCCACTGCTGTACAAGGAGAGGCCACAGGCACTTGACCTCTGTAATTTATCCAAGGGAAGAGCAACAGCCGATTACATCGCAGCCTTTAGTGCCATCACAGGGAGGTGATTCTGAGAGCAGGCAGCTCTTTAATTTAGCAAAAAAAGACATAATGAGAGCCAAAGGCTGGAAGGTGAAACTAAACAAAGCCGGAGTAGGGAATGAAGTTAATTAAGCAGTGAAGCAGCTCACCTCACACGGAGCTGATTGCCTATCATTTGAAGCACTAATTAAGAGATCACCCTACAGGATCCGTGCTGGCAGTAAGGCAGGGTGATGGGAGGAGTTGAGCTTTGAGCAGCCCTGCCCAATGCTGTTCCAAGGTGGGAAGTGCTCAGCACTCCCTGTGATACCCAGGCAGCAAGAGGAAGTGCAGGATGAGCAGG